CGTAAATGAACAGTTGATGAATTACACTTTTCTGAGAATAGAATATTGAAGTGGAGATCGCTAAACTGCAAGCTAACCGCTGTTTCCAGAAAGCAAGCGCGTTTATCCACAGTGGAGAGAGAGCGCGTGTGCACAGGGTTGCCAGGTTGACAAAGATAAGTAGCACATTTAGCAGAAATGTCCGTATTGCGCAAGTGGGAAGCTCTGTTTTGGGGATTACGTCTCTTTATATCAGGCAACCCAGTTGTGTTCCTATGCGGCCAGATTAAAACCTTGTTGTAGCCTATATATGCTCTATTCATTATTTTTTAGAAACCTTTTACTTTTCTACTCAATTTTAAACATTGTAAAATTTGTAAAAACAAATTAAGCGTGGTCCACTGCTGCACACGTGCCACAATATCGATACAGGGCCAGCTGTATCGATACTCCTATCGTCAGATCTCTGTGACGATACATCGTCGTATCGACATTTTGAACACAGCACTAATTAAAATGCTTCACTACTTTGACATAGGCTAAATTCACCACATTAGCAAACAACACTGACTGTGTTAACACTTCACACTTAAGTAGGTCTTGTTTCATTGTTCGTTTGTAAACTCTCGACAATGACAGACATTAAAATCAGATAGAAATAAGGATGCAGTGGAAGTTAGCCTTAAATTCAACAAACATATTCTGATTAATTCTGAACTGACATTGACGTTAGCTTAGGTGCTAACAAGCCGACCAATAGGTTGGGAGAAGTTCGATGGGATAACATTAGGAAAAATGTATCACGACAAACTTACTTGATTTAATGACAGAAAACATTGATTTCGCAAGTTGACATTATTTTAGCCATTAGTTATCTATGGTTCGGTTAATTTAAAAGCATTACATCGTTGACAGCAAACTTACCTCCGCATTGTTTAAAACCGCGATAAGTTGCCCAATGAGAAAAGAAGAGGATGATGCCCTAGTCTTGATTCTGATTGGTCAAAAGACTCGATGCGCTGCACCAAATGTTTTATTGGGAAAAAAGATTGCGACAGCTAGACAAATGCCTATGGTCTCACTCTGACTAGTTTGCAGATGTGTAATATCAACACTGGTGCTATATTGTGAATATATCAATATATTTGTTAATCAAAATGGTATATTATTAAGCAAACAGGTGGCGTCTTACCGGTCCTTAGAATAATAGAACATTGCTGTACAAAAAAAAACTACAACCTAGCCTACATATGGGAGCCTTGCAGTGATATGACTACAAGGTATTTTGCATCATAATTGTTACTATCTTGAGGATTTTATCAGATGTGTAATGTGGTATTGACCAATCAAAATCCAAGATCAGAACTATACACAAACACTGTGACTGCACATTAGTTGCATTTTGTATTAATGTGCCAAGCTGCTCTCTCTAGGATTATGTTGCTTGGCAATGGCAAAAAAACCTACATCTAGGCTAATGAATTTGATAGATAAATTGTATCAATTGAACATTGGCATTTTTATCGTATTGCTGTTGTTGTCATTTTATGAAAGCAAAGGCACTCAAAGCTGTGGGTTTTAGGCAATCCACTTCACATCGCTGCCTAACACCCCTTGACTGTGGTAAAAAACAAATGGGCCACTTAAACCGTATTACAGAAAACAGATATATTGCATGTCAGAGATAACAGACTCAGGTCAGATCAGCCTCCCAAAAACAGTTGACTATGTTTTAGCAGGTAAACCCTTCACAGGCAGGTCTTCTTGCCTCAGCAGTTCTGAGACTAATAGGGGTTGTTCTGGAATGAAATTAAAATTCTTTCAAATACATTACATTGTCTTGATCGGCAAGGATAATATTATAACTACACATTTATTTTACTGATTAAGCCGATAACTGGTTTTACACCTAAAGGACACACAGTAACTGGATTATAAATCTATCCATTTGTACATTTTTGGTGTATCTTATTCAACCATTTTAAGTCATTTTAACATTGGAGTATTTGTTAACAGCAAATGATTGATTTGAGACGAGCTCTTCATATTCATAGGCACTGGAATGATCCATGAACTTCTGAATATTCAAGTGTTTTATTTTTCCATTCATCTTTAAAATACAATGAAGATTAATGATATGCACTGAGGGATGAATGAATCTGTTTTTTTCTCAGATACAGTGAGATGATTCCTGTGTAATCAGTCTGTAGAAATCCTGCGTGACAATCTCTTACTTCAAGATAAAAAATAGCTCAGAAACTAAGTTCCTAACACATCATGACCTGAAAACTAAGTTCAAAAATGCCCAGAATAATCTAGATGAGCAGCTTCAGTTTACATCTAACCTTAAAAATAGATACCAACATGAGTTGAGTTAGTAACATGAGTGACCTAAGAATCAAATCACAGAGGTATTACACAGGAATCAATTAGTTACAAAAACAATTCAACATTTCTTTTTCTTTTTTTCACAAACATTGTAAAAGACATAATTATTCCTCATCATCATCATGTACAGAGGGTGGCCCTAAAATACCTATTGACCTTTTAATAGCCTTTATTAAAACCAGCAAAAAATACAAACGAAAACATTGAAGTAGCTACATAAAGAGAAAAAGAGCGATTCACATTAGATTCACATGTTCAAGTCCATCTAAAGCAAACGAGTGATGATTAGGATGCTGTACACTTTTTGCTGTTGCCACAGAGAGGAAAATAAGTCCCTCGGACATCCTGTTTTACCAACGGAGGACTCAGGCTCGGTCCTGGAGATGTGTTAGAGAATTGAGATTCAGAAGATCCAGTTGTATGGTGAATCCTGGTAAACCTGCTCTGAAAGGACTCAGTCCTTGAGTGTATGAACAGTCTAAATACACTCTCACCTGCTGGTCTCCTCAAAATCATCTTCCTCTGTTGACATTCACAATATGTGAAACTGAAGAATACAAAAGTTAATTATAAAGAGATAAATCGTTACTGCAAAGTTATGAGTCATTGCTCATTTAAATCTGTACCGCTGCAAAACGACAATAAAAATAAAGAAGATCAACGGTTTTCCTAGAGTTCCCTAGCATTTCCTGCGATGCAGCTTCTGGCGTAAATTCTCCAGGTTTGTCAGTTCAGCGAGGTGCGATTTCATCCCTAGAGTCTATCCCAGACTAGAGTCTGAATTATCTCTGTGATTTACAACTGATACTCGGTTTCACCCGTACCAGCTGACTCCCCTCTATATTACGGTGCAGCTAACGGTGTGCGATATTTCAAGACATGAAGACATTCTTCGTGTGACACGTAACCCACAAACTGTTTAAAATTTTCAAGCATAGTGTTAGTGGTTCATGCAAAGTCTTCACAAGAAGAGCATAAGTATGAAATGTGTGAAACCTATCTAGCTAAAAACGATGTGATCCATTCCTAACACGAGTTTACCAAGCATGAAGCTACCAGCAGCAGAACGTCATTAGCTTACATGACAGACAGCTTCCACACCATGGCAAAAATTTCTATAGTCCATCTCTTAAATAAAATGTCGAAAGAGCTAAAAATTGAGCAAAAACACAAGTCTAGTTGGCGAGCATACAAATAGGTGAGCAACCCGTACACAAACCCGGCGACCATCCCGAGACTACCAGAACGCTACTTCTGGCTTAGCAAGACACTCTGGTCCAAAATGTACAAACCATGCTAGAGGCACATCTGTGCAAGGTGTAAAGCTGATGGGAGAGACCCTCAATGTTCAGAAGGCCTTGAGAAGACAGAAATGAGGGCTCAACGGCGCCAAGAGTCGGATGAATCAAGAAGAAGCCTGTCGATTGTTTCGGATGGAGTCTAACTTGTAATGTCTGAGCTTGAGCAGGTGGTGACGGCAAGGTCGTTTGAAACGGACGAGATCTATTTACGATGTTCAATTGACGTGGAGAGATAAAGTGAATGTGGAGTGGAAATAGAGGGCACTCTGTCGCCTAAATAATCCCATCACATGGGGCCACTCTAGGCCGCCGTCTGCCTGAAGCAGCACAAGAGAGGAGGTCGCTCTGGTAAAGGACAGCCCACCGAGGCCGCAGATGATTCAAACACAGGTGCCCTGGTGAGTGGGAGGCAGAGCTTTGCGGTTCTTCAAGCCTTGGCTTTTCTCTTTGAAGTCCATGGGCTTCTGCTGGGACGTGTCGATAAGAGCGCTGGCGATGGCTATACCTGCAGACAACACACAACAAAGCAAGCCGAGGGTCAGAGAGGAGCAGTGCAGACTCGCAGAGAGCATTCAAAAGCAAAAATGCTTCATTTACATGTCAAAGCAAAGTTATTTAAAAAAGGGACAATGGTAACAAAGCTATCTCTTTCAAAAGAACAACAGTTAGCTCGTTCATTTTAAAGAGGGATTCCTGACTGTTCATGCATAAAGAGGTTTCCACACATGCCTTGGAAGACTTGGAAACTACGCCTTGTTCATCACCAAGGTCATTGGTTTCATGGAGCATTCCTTTCTCCTATTCTGTAGCCACTTTTCTCTCATTCTAGGATGGGGGTTTGAAATGAGCTTAACTCCCAGCACCCTATGTTTCGCGCCAGGATTCTGTCACTGACTGCTGTGGTCAAAACCATGGCCGCAACCCCAAAGCCATTTTTCAAAGCAGCATCTCACAAATCATCCTACAAACACAACGGTCACTTCTGTGCTAGTCTGGCACTGCTCCCTCCCTTCTATTGAAGCAATACAATTATCGGAGGGGAACAATTCATTACTCAGACAGGCCAGGGCAAAAGGAATTGAATTCAGCACATCAGTGTGAAGCCGGAGCTTCAAGCGTTCAGGCAAAGAGGATTTACATCCAAGAACAACCTGAGCCTCAGACAGTTACACACTGCCCTACATCGATTTATTACCCAACACACCTGGGCTGCAGGGAGGAATGTGAAAACTACACGTCTGTCAACAGAACAGTCCTCGGGATTGAAGCGCGCGGTGTACGCTTACTACCAGAGTGCTTTTAGAGCTGGTTTTGCATGAACTTAAACTACTCACCATTCAGGTCAAAAAGGATTGGATGTGAGCCAGTAATGATGGGTCAGCAGTGTATAACAAAAAAAAAAAAATGCTGCTTTTTTTTTTAATAGGTCAGATCGTGAGGATTGTGGAATAAAAGAGCTTTCAGAACTCAAAAATATCTTTTACAGTGGAAAAATTTGCATTCTACAGTTTGTACTGAGCTGCTAAAATGACTTTTGAAATTCTTGGATTTCAGATGTCAAAACTCAAAACATAAAGAAATGATCACCAACATATACTTATCGGCAATGTTTTATTTTATTGTAGTTTTTTTTATTTAGTTTTATTTTAAACATGGAATCATTTTGGATAAGCAACGGAAGGAAAAATGCAGAAATATGTGCTTGTAGTATTTTATTTTATTTTATTGTATTTTATATTTTATTATTTTATTTTACATAACATGGAATCATTTTGGCTAAGTGATGTAAAAAAAATGTGGAGATGTGTGCTTGTAGTATTTTATTTTTAATTTAATTTATTTTTATTTTATTTTAAACGGAATCATTTTGGCTAAGCAATGTAAAGAAAAAATGTGGAGATATGTGCTTGTAGTATTTTATTTTATTTTATAAAATACTACCAGCATAGATAAAATAAAATTACAAATTATAAAATAAAATAAAATACTACCAGCATAGATAAAATAAAATTATAAATTATAAAATAAAATACTACAAGCACATATCTCCACATTTTTTCTTTACATTGCTTAGCTAAAATGATTCCATGTTATATAAGGCCGGACGTGCACGCTTTCCCACTGAAATCCTAATGAGAAGGAAAGAAGGTCACTTATTTGATCACACATGCATATAATGAATAAACATGCAGATGATTTTGTTAGCCAGCCGCGGAACGAGAGAGACCTTCGGCACCGTGGAAATCTCGTAGGATCTGTGAATATAATCAATACGGTTAGAAGCGATCAGCGGCTGTCTGCTGGCTGAGTTCATTATCGTGTCCCAGCGCTAAGTCGAGTGGGAGGCTGTTTCATTAAAAAAAAAAAGGTACCACGCTTTTAGGATCATACTCACATCATACCAGGTAGACGTGCAGACAGAGCAGGGTGACAGCTGCTCTGCTCCAAGCTCCTACATCAGTCAAACACAGATTGATCTGCTTTGTGAAGGTGATGCACCGCTTTATCCTAGCAGACAAACACCTACACATCCATCCTGCTGTGAAACTTCCAAAAAGACGAACAAAAACAAAGCTCTTTGACGACAAACTACATCTGTGCACAAAGCTTCTGTGCTTCTCTCCAAAAATATTCTTTGTTGATTCAGAAGAGTCTCAGCATTTTTCCCCCTCAGCCTCTTTCTCCTTTTATTTCTCACTCTATATCTGATGTACCTCTCTCCAAATGTGCTCATGACGAACTTCAACAGCCCAGCAAGCAGCCACTCTAAAGTTTTCAGTGTCATGAAATTACAAAGCTCTGTCTCGACAGATCCAACCTCCTTTAAGTATCACCAAAATGCTCTTTTTTTGTGCATATCAGTTGTTGTTTTTGTTATGTGCTGTTATTTGTTGCCTCTATTTTGTGCTCGTCAAACAAACGAGAAGCTATTAGAGAAGCTTTACTGAAACAAAAGTTGTTGTTTTTTTCCTCCAGATCAGTCAAGTTCCTGGGGAGGAAGTCAAGCTTAAAGGGACAAGGTCCCATAAAGCAGCATGTTGACTGACAGGTGTGCTGAGAAGAGGAGGGGGTAAAAGGTTTTTATTTAGCCCAGTCTTATCACTCTGTAGCTCTTAAAGCCAGACAGAGAGAGGTCTATGAGACAGACCTCGAGCTGACATGGCTTTAAAAGCACTGCTGTCTAAATATATGCGTGTGTGATATGTCAGTATGAGGTCTCTGAAAAGGTGCTGTCAGTTGAAGGTGAAAGACAAAGATGGGGAAAAAAGACAGAAACTGGACACCATCATTATTGAATCGATTATTTTTTGTTTGTACATTTGTAGAGGCTGTGTTTGGTGCTCACAGGAACAAGACAATCCCTCGTCTCAAAGTCAAGGACACTGAGAGGTACAATGTCTCCTCAGATTTTCTTGGTCTAATAAGCTGTAACAGACTAGATCTTTTTTATTCAGGCTATAGGCAGGAGACATACAGACTGGGGTAAGCCATAGTGGTGTAAGAGGATATGACCTACAGTCACAGACAAACTTACATCAGACCACCAGGGGAATGCTGGAGAACTTCTCTGACTTCCTGCATTAAATTAATTCCCACATGGGGAATGAACCAGACTGCAACATAATAAGTGAGCAGCGGGCATGTTAATTCGGTGAAAAAGCTGCCTGTACCATGTCAGAGTTGTACATTTCAGTCAAATTTTATGCTAGGGATAAACTTACCAAGCCCACATGGAGGTAAATCACAAAAGGACATGCAGTAACAATTGGGATATACATTTATATACAGGTGCATCTCAATAAATTAGAATGTCGTGGAAAAGTTCATTTATTTCAGTAATTCAACTCAAACTGTGAAACTCGTGTATTAAATAAATTCAATGCACACAGACTGAAGTAGTTTAAGTCTTTGGTTCTTTTAATTGTGATGATTTTGGCTCACACATTCTAATTTATTGAGATGCACCTGTATATTTAACTATATTGGTATTGGCAGTGGCCAAATTTTAAAAATATTTCAGGGGGATGGTGTGGTCAATTTCTTTTTCAGGGGTGGGGGTATGTGGGTTCTTTAGCTAATTTTAGATAATGATTACAAAATTTGTTGAATTTTTTTAAAAAGGCTTTTATTTAAAGAAAAATTAGCCTCATTAAATTAACTATTATTTATAAGCTTTTTTCCCTTTTGGGGCCAGAAATATTGATATCGATATAACAATATTTTGCTAAATGTGTTTTTGTGCTGAAACCTTGGCTGGTTTAGGCCTGTCATGGATAAATAATAATGACAATAAAACCGCCAGTAGGTGGCATCAAGTCCCTGTTTCAATAAATGATTTATTGAATCATTCAAATCAAATGATTCGTTCAAAACAGCTGATTCAATTAGAAACTAAACAGGGCTGCGTTTCCCAAAAGCATCGTAAGCCAGCTCCATTTGTGGCAACGTGTCTACGATGTACTTAGACTTACGATGCTTTTGGGAAACGCAGCCCAAGAGTCCATCTGAATGGGCTGTTGAATCACTGGCTCACTCGGTTCGTTCAAAAATTGATTCATTCAAAGAACGAAACACTGTGTTACTACTATGCACATTTGTGCTCTCACATGTACTGATATTCAGAAAATTACATTGCTTGTCCAATGAATATAAAAAACATAAAAACTCATACATGGGTAATTTTTCTTTAATTGCTTGAATTATAAGGATATTTTAACTGTATTCTAATAGGCTTCTTCACGCAGTGAATGCTTTTTGACTCTCAAGACGTTTTTGTTTGGCTTTTGCAAAGTTGATGACTCAATAATGCCAGCTCTCCTATCGTCTCTCAATCCCTCACAGTCACACATACAGCACAATAACATTATGACGGGAATGTCTTTAAATTCTAATCAAGGAAAAATCATACCTTTTCTGTTGTCTTCTTTTTAAAGAACTTCAAAAGTTGCGCTTGAACCATTTTGCGTGAAAAATGACAAAAACCTGCTTCAGCTTGTGCGCAGCTTGTTACAGTACTGAGTTCTGATTGGCCAATCACTGTTATTCATGAATTATCTTAAGTAGAGGATTTTAATATTTAATTTGCATGATAAATTTTACATAATACACATTATTAATTCAAAGGGGATGATAAGGGGGGATGGTGGTTTTACTGAGGGGATGCTTTTTGTCATTTTTTTCAACCAGGTGGATGCCATCCCCCCTCAATTCGAGCCATGGGTATTGGTCAATATTTGTTATTTATTTGTGCATTATCATTTCTTTGTTTTTTACATTTACATTACCTTTGGTGTAACGCTCAAAATTTAATCTACAAAAACACTAATAATTTAATAATTCATTTAATATGAATTATAAAATGTATTTTTGTAACACTCCCTTAAAATTTAATCTTCAAAACACTGATAATCTAGCAATTAATTTATTTATTTAATAATGTGCCACTGTTAAATGCAATCTTTTTCAAGATTACAAATTTTAAAATTAATATCCATTTTTCATACTGTAGTGTACATTATAATACTGTGATGCCTAAATTAATTTGTAGCATTCACTTGCAGCTTTAGTGTTTCATTTTGAATTTATTTAGACAAAAGAGTAAAGAATTTTGATATTAGCCACAGCGTCAAAATCGGTGTTCACCTGATATTTAATACTGGTATATCCAAGAATTTCAGAACAATGAACCACTTAGTTTATTTCAACTGACAAGCACTTCTGGCCACAAAAACAGATTATTATATTATCAGGTTATTATGTATTTGTGTCTGCATAATGCTTCTACCTTAATTTTCCTATAATCTGTGAACAAAAAAGGTGGTGCACTATGGTACAATTATGGTATCAGATGCTAAACTGTTTACATTTATGCATTTGGCAGATGCTTTTATCCAAAGAGACTGATATTGCATTCAAGCAATGCATTCCCTAAAAATCGAACCCGTTACCTTGGTGTTGCCAGCACCATGCTCTACAGTTTGAGCTTCAGACAAGGTAAAACAAGGTACTGTACATGTAAATTGGGGACGCATTTTAGGACACCTTTTTAAAATTACTGACCTGACTGGCCGGGTGGAGGAACACCAGATGCCCCTCTTGGGAGGCACATTAGCACTGTGAGCACCGCTGCTTTACCCCCTGAACAGGGTTCTACAGCAACTGGCTTGGGCGGTCCCTGTGGAGAGATCAGAGGAGAGGAAATGTGTCATCTATAACAAGCCTCCTACTGAACATCATCACACCATCAGTCACAAATGTCACAGTACTCAGTGTGAGCTGACATTGTAGGATGTCTCTCGCACGTCGTCGACAGAAAAGGAAAATTCACATCGTGATAATCTCAGTAACAAATCATCTCCCTGAAACTCAAAGACTCAATGCAAGCCACTTTCAAAGTTCACATCATGCACGCACAGGCGGAGAAAATCTGACATTTGAGGTTGTTGACTACCAGCTCGGGTCGTGTGGTAGCACCAGCTCTCAGTCCTATAAATGCTGCCCTGAATAGAAGTATGCATGAGCGGGTCTCTGATGCAACATTGTGGAATGAGGAGGAAGGAAGCCACAGGCAATTGTGATCTTAAAATGTCATCTTTTATGTCACATTATTGATCATTCAGAGCTGGTTCACTCGCATACATATGAATGCTTTTCTGAAAGGATTTAGCGATTGTTTTATGTGTTTTAATCACAAAGGGAGTCATAAATGTCCCTGCCAATGAATAAAAGTATTGTCTTTTAAGATTCCCTCAGCTCATTAATACACTCTCGTTTCTGGCCCTCCACACACACACAATGACTCAGCGATAGAGTGGCTTTATTCACCATTTAAAGAGAGTGCCTCTTCAAGAGCTCTTCCAAGAGAGCGCTGCAAGATCACAGACTTTGGCAGCCAATGGCTCTCCACAAAATGAAGCTTTAATATCTTACCTCAGTTGCCAAAATGCATAAAAAAAATGAAAGACACAAAAAAAAAAGGGAACAGATGCCAACTATTATTTTCTGGCAAGAATGGTCTTCATCGAGACTATAATATGAATTAAGCACCAGCCGTCAAACCAACAAAGTTACTCTAAGGTACATTTCTCTAAAGCAGGAATGTTTAATACAAATCTGGCCCTTTCCCACCTCAATATAATTATGGCAATTATTGAAGCACACAGCAGACATTTAAATGAGCTTTCTGTGGCTTTGGACTGATATGCAGATCATTAAAATGTGTCCTATTGCGTCATATCACACAACTAAACAGACCAACTCTGCCTATATCCATTTTCAGCTTAAATTAAAAATACTCTATATAGTTTCTGAAGAAAATGTGAGCTGTGCTTACCTGATGAAAAGCTGTTGCCATATAAATTAAAAAAATAATATAAAATATAAATTATATAAAATGTATTGATTATTCCCCTCGCTAAAGGCATATACATAATACACTGCTGTTCAAAAGTTTGGGATCAGTAAGATTTTTAATGTTTTTTAATGGAGTCTCTTATGCTCATCAAGGCTGTATTTGTTTGATCAAAAATACAGAAAAAACAGTAATATTGTGAAATATTATTGCAATTTCTAATATTGGTTTCCTATTTTAATATACTTTAATATAGACACAGCGCTGAATTTTCAACAGCCATTACTTCGGTCTTTAGTGTCACATGATCGTTCAGAAATCATTCTAATATGCTGATTTATTATCATTGTTGAAACTATTGTGCTGATTAATATTTTTTTGGAACCGGTGATACTTTTTCTTTGATTCTTTGGTTAATAAAAAGTTAAAAATAACATCATTTATTCAAATTTAAATTCTCTTCTAACAATATCTAACAAGTCTCTACTATCACTTTTTATCCATTTAAGATATCCTTGCTGATTAAAAGTATTAATTTCTTTAAAAAGAAAACAGAAAAAAAAATACTGAAAAACTTTTGAATAGTAGTGTAGATTGTAACACAAAATTTCTATTTTGAATAAACAGTGTTCTTTTTAACTTTTTATTTATCAAAGAATCCTGAAAAAAGTATCATAGGTCCAAAAAAAATTAAGCAGCACAACTGTTTCCAACATTGATTATAAATCAGCATATAAGAATGATTTCTGAAGGATCATGTGACACTGAAGACTGGAGTTATGGTGCTGAAAATTCAGCTTTGCTTCACAGGAATAAATTATATTTTAAAGGATATTAAAATCAAAAACTGTTATTTTAAATTGCAATAATATTTCACAAAATTTGTTTTTTTTTCTGTATTTTTTGATTAAATAGATACAGCCTTGATGAAAACATAAAAAATCTTACTGATCCCAAACTTTTAAACGACAGACAGACAGACAGACAGACAGACAGATAGATAGATAGATAGATAGATAGATAGATAGATAGATAGATAGATAGATAGATAGATAGGAGGTAACAAATGCATAAATATACACGCCAAAGATTATCCAAATACATAACCTTTCTGGCAAGATTTTTTTTTCTCGCCTATATAATCACAGCGAATGTGTTCAGTTCTAAAATGAAAGAATGCCTAAGCCCATTGCTTTCTCTCATTTCGTGAGAGAACTCATGGAACGTGATGGCACAGGCGTGGAGGGGCTTGTGAAAGGTCAAATTAAGCTTGCGCTGACAGTGATGTCCATCAAGCCCGGCAGACAGAGGCTGTTATCAGAGCAATATCTGTCTCTTTGAGAGGAAAAGAGGCCACTTGTGCTGCACTTAAAAAGTTCAAAGCCATTGTTTCTGAGTGACAGGGGGTGGCAGGAGGCGTCTAGCTTCCCTTCTAGCTCTAATGTTGCATTTATTTGATCAAAAATACAGAAAAAAAAACAGTAATATTGTTAAATATTATTGCAATTTCTAATATTGGTTTCCTATTTTAATATACTTTAATATAGACACAGCGCTGAATTTTCAACAGCCATTACTTCGGTCTTTAGTGTCACATGATCGTTCAGAAATCATTCTAATATGCTGATTTATTATCATTGTTGAAACTATTGTGCTGATTAATATTTTTTTGGAACCGGTGATACTTTTTCTTTGATTCTTTGGTTAATAAAAAGTTAAAAATAACATCATTTATTCAAATTTAAATTCTCTTCTAACAATATCTAACAAGTCTCTACTATCACTTTTTATCCATTTAAGATATCCTTGCTGATTAAAAGTATTAATTTCTTTAAAAAGAAAACAGAAAAAAAAATACTGAAAAACTTTTGAATAGTAGTGTAGATTGTAACACAAAATTTCTATTTTGAATAAACAGTGTTCTTTTTAACTTTTTATTTATCAAAGAATCCTGAAAAAAGTATCATAGGTCCAAAAAAAATTAAGCAGCACAACTGTTTCCAACATTGATTATAAATCAGCATATAAGAATGATTTCTGAAGGATCATGTGACACTGAAGACTGGAGTTATGGTGCTGAAAATTCAGCTTTGCTTCACAGGAATAAATTATATTTTAAAGGATATTAAAATCAAAAACTGTTATTTTAAATTGCAATAATATTTCACAAAATTTGTTTTTTTTTCTGTATTTTTTGATTAAATAGATACAGCCTTGATGAAAACATAAAAAATCTTACTGATCCCAAACTTTTAAACGACAGACAGACAGACAGACAGACAGACAGATAGATAGATAGATAGATAGATAGATAGATAGATAGATAGATAGATAGATAGATAGATAGGAGGTAACAAATGCATAAATATACACGCGATAGATAGATAGATAGATAGATAGATAGATAGATAGGAGGTAACAAATGCATAAATATACACGCCAAAGATTATCCAAATACATAACCTTTCTGGCAAGATTTTTTTTTCTCGCCTATATAATCACAGCGAATGTGTTCAGTTCTAAAATGAAAGAATGCCTAAGCCCATTGCTTTCTCTCATTTCGTGAGAGAACTCATGGAACGTGATGGCACAGGCGTGGAGGGGCTTGTGAAAGGTCAAATTAAGCTTGCGCTGACAGTGATGTCCATCAAGCCCGGCAGACAGAGGCTGTTATCAGAGCAATATCTGTCTCTTTGAGAGGAAAAGAGGCCACTTGTGCTGCACTTAAAAAGTTCAAAGCCATTGTTTCTGAGTGACAGGGGGTGGCAGGAGGCGTCTAGCTTCCCTTCTAGCTCTCTCATTCCTCCGTGTGCAGAATATCATTGTTTTTCCTTTTGATTCTCTCTCTCCCTCACACCACATGCTATTTCTTTATCAAAATCAGTCTGTAGTCTGTAGAGATAAATCCTTCTATTGCTACTTAGATCTTAAGGACAAGGTTAAGTTTACACCACGGAGTAAAATGTAACCATAAGGATGTATGTCGATACAAATGTTTGCTCTACTAGCCAGACTATAAGGGTTTAGCACCCCATTTATCATAAGTGATAGACAAAACAAACCGCAGCAGCCTCAAGACTCTTCACTCTGCTCCTTATACACAAATGCATCTTCTTGCTTTTGAATGATACAGCCAACCTCATTATTTCTAGCAAAACACACCAATTAAGTGATTCATGTTAAATATCACACTTAATTACATATCTCCATTTTCAACCCTACGCATCCATTTCTTGCCAGAGCTATTGTCTGAGCTTGGTAGTTATTAATAATGTAAAGATCTATTTCGATTTCACACCCAAACATGCATTACAATAGACTCTCGCTCAAAGGGGTGACCACTTCCTTACACTTTTAAGTACTTTTAACTTCAATGACAGAGAAAAACATGCTCAAAGCTTTGTAACATTTGCCTCCTTTTAACATTTGTTCTGTGAGTGTACTGCTGTACATGTCTTTTAATATGTTTTCTATAATGTATATATATATTTTAAAAAATCCTCACAGGAAAAAATTAAATATTGCAAAATAAAATGTTATTATTATAAAATAGAATATTGTGAAATAAATAAATTAATTAATTACATATTTTATTACTCCTTTATACAACAAAGGGAGGAATCCTATTTATAGAATTCCTATAAAACATCCATCATATAATACCAAAATGACCCTAAAAGGTTCTCATTAGTCTGTTATATGTTTGTGGGAACCATGTATTCAATGTATAAACCGTATAAACCATTTAACAAGATCTTTATTCCTCCCAAAACAACTCCAAACGAACAGACAAATCTATTTTCATGCACTTACTCTCATCCCTT